GATAATCCTGAAATGAAGGCTAACATTACCTTTATTTCAGATACAAGGCTCCAGAAAGCGCATAAAAATGTATTATTTACAGAGTTGCTGAAGTTCCATACATGGGATCTAAATGATTTGATGGTGTTCCGATATGATTATTGTCAACAGCTCATCCTCGTAAGTATCTCATTGTATTATTACTTTTTTGTAACTTCTTGTATTATTAGTTTTTTCAGTATTTTAAGAAAATAAATTTTCTTTCATATTTAATTTTATTTTAAATGTGACTAAAAACTTTCTTATTATATAAGAGTTTGTTTGGAAGTATGTGGAGAAACATTCTACTTGTTAGAATGGTTGACATTCGAATTTTGAGCCAACCATGTAGCTCGTTAACGTGTGAAAGAAATTGAAGTACTTTGAGGTGACACACACAAAAAATGGAATAAATCGACACCAACTATGTTAACTAACTTGGTTTACATGAGAGTGAAGTCGAAGACGATGACTGTATCTCGTCAAAATGAAAAGCGTGATTGTGATGCAATTAATCTTGAACAGCTTGGTTCATTGCCAAAAGATATTTCCAAATAAACGAAAAATGAGAATACCTCTATAGATTATAATCTTGATGATGATGATGATTCAATGCTACATGACTTGGGGCTTACACTTTCCCAAACTCCTAAGTTTTCTACTAATTCTGATGACTCTACCATGCCTTATTTCAATTTTGAATCTTTATAGTGATTTTTGTATTTAATTTTGGATGATGGGATGAGAGTCATGAGATATTTAAATTGATTGACTTATTTATATTAGTTTAATAAAAATTTTACGGATAGATTAGTTATTAATGGATTTGACATATTTTTTATTTTTAAAATTTAAAAATTTATTCTTTTTTTCACTCTGATTTTTTAAGCCCAATCCAATATATTTACAATATTTTTACATAAATTATTTTTGCCAATCCATATTTTTGACCCGATTTTTCATGCTACTTTTGAAAATAAAATCGATTTATTTTCGATTTTATAGTGAGCTGATATATTGATATTCTCCAACTTGCTAACTATGATATGGACTCCAATTCAAATGTTTTAAGTATTCTTCTAACTTGATTGTAGAATCTACTTAATGTAGGTTGTTTGCCTTACTAATTTAGGATACTTGAGATTTCTAGGAATATTTAGGTTGGACTATGGTCTAGGTATAAACTATGATTTAGTATATATCCTATGGTGTATTGAAATAGTATGATCTAGGAATCTAGAATTCAAAATTAAAATTAAATATGGAAGGGATGTCTACACAACCCAAAAAAGGAAATTTAGTATTTAATATTTGAATTTTTTTTATTAAGGTTGCAACTAGCGTTTTAAAAATCGCCGAGTCGAACCGGACTCGCCCGGTTCGACTCGGAATTCACGAAAAAGGGACCGGATCGGTTCAAAAACCGGGAATCGTCCGGTTCTAGAGAGAACCGGACGATTCCGCACAGTGACTCGCCGATTCACTGTGCAGAATCGGCGACTCCGTGAAGAACACGGGTTGCACAGTGTTCTTCACGGATTTTTTTCAAATTTGTCATTTTTTGATCATTTTTTTTGTTTTTTTT